ACAGAGACATTCTATTGGGTGTAGAATAATAGGTGCCTGCCATGCAATGCATGGAGGCAGTTACTGACTTGCTTCGCAAGTCAGTAACTGCTCTCCTTATGCATTGCTATGGGCAGGGCCCAATAATAAAGAGATATTCTATTGGGTGTAGAATAATAGGTGCCTGCCATGCAATGCATAAGGAGAGCAGTGACTGACTTGCTTCGCAAGTCAGTAACTGCTCTCCTTATGCATTGCTATGGGCAGGCCCCAATCATATGTAAGTACTCTTATTCACATAATAAGTCATTAAAAATAATAGCAGTAACAGATGTAAACAGGTTAACGAGATACATTCAGAATTCAGCCACAGTGTTGATGCTCATCATCTATCAGCCAATCAGAGGTTTGCGTTTTATTCAGGCGTGCTTGGGAGTGGCTACCTGTGCGGCATTTTGGGAAATTGTAGGATGTAGAAGAGTTATTGATATTGTATTATATAGAGTTAGTTTTATGGAGTTATATTCAACACATAATTTTTTATGAACTTTGATGCTATGAGGAACAAAAAAAACCATCAACCTCCTGCTACTTCCTGCTGTCTTCTTCTTCTTCATGGTTTTCGCAAGTAATAACAGTGTGATGTAAAAAAATACCCCCCAAATACTTCTATTTTGATATAATATAAAAAAACATCTCATTCTAACATAAAGCCTTTATTGGAAAATATGATATTTTTTTTTTTTTTAAATTGCGTTGGTGTTTCCATTAAGCACATTTCTGATGCAACTCTTATCTGATCAAACCAAAAATGAACTGAGTTTTCCAAACAGTAGAAAGGGAACAGATTTGAGAAAATTATTTCAAATTATAGAGGGCCAAAGTCAGGACAGAAACAAATTGATAAATGGTCAACACAAAGGTTTAAGAAAGACAAATCATTTTCATTCTCAAAATAGTAATGTATGACAAAGATTAAAAAGAAGAGAAACAGTGAAGCAACCAGAGAGGGTGGAGACGGGGATCATCGCTAAATGGTAATTAGAAGTCTACATAACACTATAATTGATGTTTTTCAGGATTTAAGTGCTTCATACCGAGTACTGAAATAAAATGATGTAAAAAGTACATCATTTAGTACACCATAATATTAGACTGAGTCACGTTCATCATTATATTGGCGTTCTACATTAAAAACAAAACAGAAAAAAAACAGTTTACTCAGAGACTTTATGAATCATGCATCATTTATAAAGTGGATAAAAAAAAATCAGAGAAGCATCAAAAGGGCAGCAGCTGGCTGGATTGCAAATGTCAATGGAGTATTAACATGGCAGTCCTGAGCAGGAAAACTGCACTACATTTATTCTTCTTAATTAAATAACTAAGAGGAAAAAAAACTTTCAAGATGGCAGGATGAGAAATGACATTTTAAAGGTTTCTGTGTTTACATGCACTGTGCCTCACATCCAAAGTTAACTAGGACGCCGCTGCACACAGTTAGTCTCAGCTAAAAGTTCAAAACAGGAACAGGAAGCTGCCTTTCACTAACTAGGATCCATTTCCTTTGCTTCAAATCTGCAAACCACAAGTTTCAAAGACCCAATCACCTGAGGTTACAGACGGCACTTACACAAATGCAAACGGTGTCATGACATGGCATTTCTGACATGAAAGAGTTCAGTTTCAACCCATTAAATTTGAAAAATACTTAGAAATCAGAACCTTTTTTATTCTCAGATTTCTCCTAAATCACACCATCAGCTCAGTCTTTTCCATTTTAGCTGAGAAATTATATATCTTGTTAGCTTTCTGTCTAATAACCCTTTGACCTCTTAAGCAAACATCCTCAGGCTCTCCTGCGTTCTCTTGACACTCTACTTCTCCTCCTCTGGAAAGGTTTCATGACTTCCTCAACCAGAGGTTGGGAAACAAGACAAACAAGAGTACAGCATGGTCTTATGGCAAAATTTGCACTGTTTTGCTTCCCTCAGCATTTGGCTCTCAAGTAACCAAATGTGTAAACATCAGGGGCCTCATGAATAAAAGAGGTGGAGCTTTCACACAAAAAAACTGGTGTACAGACAAATTTAGAAAATGCGGCGCACAAAAAAAATTGTGATGTATAAATCCGTGTGTACCTTTACTTTATAAATCCTAATTTGAAGGGCATAGAGCAGTTGCTGGTCCGTCCTGTCGCCACTCAACATACATTGGTATAAAAACTCCGAAGTCTGCCACCACATGAAGCAATAACCATGCCAACGGTCCTTGCTTGCAGCAGTGTAAGCAGTTATAATAATAACTGTTATATATTTTATTTAAATATTTATTTCAGGGAACATAAATAAAATAATAAATTTTAAAGAAATAGAAGAAAAGAGAAAATAAAGAGATTCAAATAGAAATCCTTGTTTGAACAGTAAAGCATTCAGCTGGGATTTAAAGACAGACAGTGCATCAGAAAGTGCTTTGGTTGAGTGGGGAATGTGGACATTTATTCCAAATAGAGAAATCATGTGTATCAGTCCCACATTCACAGAATAGCGATGCTTTCTGTCCATGAAGGCACATTCATTAAGAGGGTATAGTTCGACTGAAGGATGACTGTCTGACCTGCAGCAGCTCCAGCTGCACCAGTAACACATGGATCCTTCTTTAAGCTTTGAACACAGTTAAACTCTCATGAACCATCATCAATATTTCCCAGCAGATCAATATGATCTCTGAACACACACTCCCTCCGGATCATTGAAGTTCAGAGACAAAGGGCTCCACTATAATGTGACATATCTTTGCCCAGCTGCTTACATATGTTTGATTTTCTACACATCTTGTCCACCTTAAGAATAATCAAACCTGACTTGTTCGGAGTTAAGCTGCTGATACGACTCAATTTTCTTTTTCAGTGAGAATGAAAGGGTCCCACAGATTACATGCTCTCCATACGCTTCGGCACACAGGCTGATGGACAGTTACATATTTATGTGACAGAAAATGAGAAAATGTACTAGTTAGAGCAAGGTGAGGTTTATTTACACTCCTTTAATAAACTGTTCTCTACTAGCACAAAACCTCATGAAAAGGAGATCAAATGTGTTCAGAAATATATGTGGCTGTTTTCTTTTCTGTTTTCTCATGACAAATTGAACAATGCTCAGTTACTGCATTTTCAGTAAAACTGTACACAAAACTTTGTTGACATTCCACTAATGTTGAAAAAATGCAATTTTGCAATTGTGGTATTTCCTCCGATGACTTCCTGTTGTCTTCGTTTTCGTGGTTTGTGCCAGTGGCAACATCATGATCACATGACTCATGATGAGATTACAGTGTTTCCATTGCAGTTTTGCAAAAATAGGCACAAAAGCTCTTTTGGCCGTGGCAGATTTGATACAGACAACAAAAAAAAAAAAAAAAAAAACAAGTCATTCTGGTGCCAAAAAGTTTGTTTGAAAACTATTTTTTCTGAAATTGCTGTGTTTCCATTAAGCACATTTATTTTCAGAATGTCAAATTGTACAATCTGACCTTTGTGATGTCGTCTTAATGGTTCAATGATTTTCTCCAACAAACTTGATTCCTTCACCAGACAGCTGGATTTATATGGAGATTAAATCTGACTAAGGCAGACAATCTTTACTAAAAATTCTACTTTCACATTTTATTTGTTCAAAGTTCAAAAATCATCTTTCAATTTAACAATTCTGCATGAATTTTCATAGACTGTAACATCAAATCCTGAAAAGACACAGCAGCTACGTTTTCACTGACTATATAATTGAGGAATTTGACAATTAAAAAATAAATGTGTTAGATGGAAACACAGCAATTAAAAAAAAAAACCCTGGTTTTTGGATAAAACTTTTGCACAAGGATCAAGTGCCGATTTTTGGCCGTATAGATTTTGGTTTATTTTGCAGAACTGCAATGGAAATACTTTTTTCACTACATATGATCAACAACCGGATGTTTCCACTGGCACAAACCACGAAGAAGAAGATAAGAAGGAGTAGTTGGAGAATGATGGAGCGTCATGTTTTTTCATGACTTATCACATTAACACAAACTTATTCACATGTGATTTTAATTGTTTTCTCATTTAATGGAAACACCACAATTGCAAAATAGTGTTTTTCCAACATAATTGGAAAATCAGCAACGTTTTGCACACGTTTGTAATGGAAACACAGATAGTGATTTTTGTGACAAGATGTCAAAAACCTTAAGAGGAGTGATTAGCTTTGTAAGACACTGTTTGTCTTTCTGCATCATTACTTAAGAGCATTCTGAGCCCTCAACCAGAGAAGCTGGGCCATTTTTTTCTGTATACAGAACAACAAGCTAGAGTGATCAACACGGCCCAGATGTTCTCTCTTTTTCTCGTAAACACTTTCCATAAACATCTGAGTGAGCAATGTGCCGTTCAAAGTGCTCCAGGGCCGGTTTCGCTGAGGTTTGACAATAAAGCAGCGACAAACCATATTTTGTCATCTTGTGGCATGCGGTAACTACACACTCTCAATCCCTCGCAGACCTCCTCATTTCAATGCAGGCATTATGTGGGAGTCTGGCTTTCTCTGTAAAAGCAACCTTTGTGATTTCAAGTTGCTCAGATCGTCCCTGAAGTTGACCTCCGGGGGTGTATGTTCCACACAAGTTTGCATTTAAAGACGGAGGAGTGAATGCGACACGGCGGCTTCTGTCAGAAAGGATTTGCCGACTGGGAAATGAAGAAAATACAAAGCTCTCTCACTCAGTGAACAAAAACCAGAGTTTTAACTACAGCAATGCTACACTCGACAACAATGTGACCTCCAGATGAGTCTTGTTTTGAGAGAGTATTTGTTGAAACAAAAGATATCTGAAACCAAAACCCAAAAATAGTAAATCATGGTTTCATGCGTCACCTCGGACTGCAGCTTTGAGAGGTCACTGACACACTCCTGATGGACGTTTAGCATACATCGACTTCTCTCCTCCACTTTCACATAAAAAACACCACAGCATTGGTCACATACCTCCATTATTCTGTCATGGATCTGAAGGCCTCCCTCCTTGTCTGCTGGACCTTTCTCCACAATCTTGGACACAAAGATCCCTTCATTGGAAGTGCCGTCATTGTCGTCCTGTCGAACAAATTGCTGTTATTTCCCCCATAAACAATAAAAACAGCAGTTCTCACAGATAAATTAGTTACATAGAAGCATGAACTTTAAAATGCCAAACAACGGTTGGTTGGGAAGTAGAATGGATCCGTGGTCAAGACCAAAGAAAAAAATATTCACAAAAAAAATAAATAAATCAAAAATCTCGTTTGGGTGGTTTGAAAACTGAAGTGTATTTCTAGGTAGATATTTTACTATTAATAATTTTCATAATAGCCAATATTGTTAAGTCATATTTGATATTCAACACCAAACTTTTAAACTATCTTGTAAAATGTCACAACGTTTTAGTTTTCAGAGTGTATTCATCGTTTAACCCCATTTTGCAGTAAAAGTATTTGTCTTGGCATTAACTACTTCCTCACTTTAAGAACTGGCTTCTAGACTACAGGGCTGAAAAAGCTGGCATGTTCACAAGGAAGGTTGCATCCAGCACAGCTGTGCTGACCCTCTTCCTCCACAGCCAGAGCTAAATCTGACTTAACAACCCCTTGTAGCAGTCTGTCTGAAAACACATGAAACGTGTCCCACACACCTGCTGAGCTGTTGCAGCATGACCACACTTTAATGAGTTAACTAAAGAAACATCAGGGCAGGCAGTAATTAATGATAATTGGTCTACAGGAAATGAAGCTTTGTTCTACAAGGTTCTGCTGAGCATGTCTGTTCACCACAAGTTTTCCCACACACCGTTAACAAACTATAGTGGTTAGCAAAAATGTTTTCACACACCCCTCAACTTTCTTCCTGTCTATTATGTTAAACCCCACAAGCCTCAACGCATCACACAGCCATTTAATATGATAGACCAACACAAAGTGATGGATACATGTGATGGGGAGGCAAAATGAAATATGGTTCTCATAATGTTACAAATATAAATTTGAAAAGTGTGGCGTGCATTCGTATTTAGTTCATTTGCACTGACACCTCTAAATAAAAGGCAACCAAATGTCTTCACAAGAAAACTGAACTGAGTATGAATACAACCTGAAACATGAGTATGTTTCATATTTCCCAGTATCCACTTGAATTTCAAAATAATGGTAATTTTTCAAGATGGACGTCATTTATTTTCCATTATGGTCATCTTATTCATTCAATTAAAAAAAAAAAGTAACAGAATCACAAACTGAGAGCTTTGCTATTGGCCAATCTCAAACCTAGTTTAACACCAAAACACATTTTTCTAATTCGTGATTTTAGCGCAGAAATTTATTTTCCATGACAACCATGATGACAATCTTGAAAAAAGATTTGCATTTTGTCAAACCATCATCAAATATGATTTTTGTAAGTTATATTATGTATGATTTGTCACAAGAAGTATTCATCTGTGAAACATATTGGCATTTAATAAATGGCCACCACCTTGAAAATTGCAGTGTTCAACACCTTTTTGGATAATCTAAATTGGATAACAAGGAACTTGGGTTCTATTCTGCTGGAATATCCAATTAACAGCTGCACTAAAAGTCAACTTCTATATCTGAGCACAAATTCGTTGTACATAGAATTTTTGATAATTGAAAATCGTTTAATATTTTAATTCAGAGTCACAAGTATTAGCTAATTTGTGTGAAATACACTAAATATGCACACTGTGCTCTAAAGTCGTAATGTCAAAATCTGAAGCTCAAAGGATGTGAAGAGCTCTGCAAGATGTTTGATGTTGTCTAAAGACAGCATAGATGGTTGATTAAACTTAACAAGCAAAACCAAGGCGTATTTAATATGTATATTTTATATTTTATTTATATAAAATATACAAAATCTGGATAATTATCTCCCTACCAGAACCTTTTAAATATTGACAGTAGCTGGGAAAGTAAAACAATCTGAAATTAATTGCAGTATTGATTGATGAAACCAGTACATCACGTAAATATGAACTCAGCTGCAGAAAAAAATTAATAAATCTATGAATGGAAGGTGAAGCAGAGATATTTGTAACCCTACGTGTGGCATCATTAATATATTTTACCTCGTAGCCTGAAGGAAGGAAACAGTGGCTGTGAAAAGTTCAGGCAGGGATAAAAAAAAATAAATAAAACCTTTTCCCTCTGTGCTTACCTCACCACTGAAATCCCCTCAATTAAAGACAAAACAACTGCGGTCATAACCATAACCCCGTATTTAACTCCCATAAATGTAATTATAGTTTTTTTCATTTTTTTCCCGTGCCAAATCCGCTAAGCCCCAACTAATAAATAAACACAATAAAGCTTGGTGATGCGGTCTATCTCTTCACCAACTACAAAATGCTAAAGCCAAGCAGCTGAAGTCAGAAGAGTCTTGGGATTCGTCTGCTCTAACATTCATTCCAGGTCACTGTGAGACACCGGAGTGGCTGTTGTCACTTTTAACCTACCGCACATGGCCTTCCTCCTATGATGTTAAAACCCAGCGATCCGGCCTCGCGGAGCAGGACAGCTGTCACACTCTTAGTGTTGTCTTCCTACAGAAAGACAGGACAGAAACATGTGAGCAAACAGACAGATTACTGCGAGTAAGAAGCTGACTGATGTTTCTTCAGCCTTCAAAAAGATCAATTGACAATTTATCAATTTATCATGGTAGCAGCATATTGGAGCTAACTTGTTATTTTTCTGGGCTTTTGTTTGTACGTTTTTGGTTGAGGCATATGTTTGGACAAATATTCCCCCTGCTCTTTACTTTTGGAAAGCTTTTAGGATTTGTAATTGTGACAATGAGATTTGTTTTAACAACTGAGTGGAGTTAATTAGCTAATCTTAAATGTGCAAAGAGGCAGTATTGTGTAAAATCAACTTTTATCACCTTTACATGACAGATGACAGAAGGAATTATAATTTCATTTTGTCATCAAAAGCAGACCTGAACTGTTGCTTTTATTCTTTCCATTCAGCCAATCAAAATACATGGGTAAATGTAGGCTTGTGAGCTTCTGCTGAACAGTGCAACCCTCCTCCAGGGCTCCCCCATTCAGCTCCTCAATGTGTGATTATGTAGTCTATCTCATCACCAAGATAGACCTCAGACTAGCCAGCAACAATTAGCAAACACGTGGTGGACCTGTTGAGCTCATCAAAGAGCAACTTCTCAGAGCAACGCTGCTAAAACATTGTTAAAGAGTTAATAGAGGAGCCATGTTGTGATGACTTACCAAAGGCAGTTTCAGAAAGAGCATGAGTTTCTTAAAAAGACAAAAGCCCAATTTCAAAGCCTTAAATCACAAAGTAAATTTTTTTAAGTGAAATTTGATAAATATAGCAATCTTATAAAAACTGAAAGTAACATAGTTACTTAATTATGCTTTAAATTGCGACTCTTATACTTAGACTTGTACTTTATTGATCCCTTGGGAAGACTCCCTCAGGAAATTAAAGTTGGAAAATAAGTAGTACTGTTCCTCAAAGGTGGAGTCGGGTCCAACCAGGCGCTTTGCACAACTGAATCGTTTCCACAAAAGATTAAAGGATTTCTCAAAAACGCATGAAAGAGTAAAGTAACACTCCAGGTGTGCTTTTGATGAGGGAATAACATTTTTGCATAATGTAAAGGTGAAAAAAAAGTTTATTTTATATAATAATGAATGTCTTATTTATCTGAGCACACAAACAAACGTCCTGGCGCCATGTTTGATTCCTAACAGGAAGTCGCGGTGATTTTAAGCAATCTGATTGGCTGACAATTCTTAATTTTGTGCTACACTGCCATCTGTGGGTTTCACATGTTTAAAACATTCAGAGTCAAATTTGTGCAGATTTGTATATATGAAAACTTTTATGTAACAAGCGTATGATATTGTTTGAAATACTGCGGCAGAGATGTTCATTTTTATAAAGACCCGGCTATCTGCAAACTAGGTCTTAGATAACTGGATGATATAATTACAACTTAAGAGAGTTTGGGATAAATTAAGTATTTTGAACCAAACTGACTTGACTGACAGCAAGTAACCAGTCTGGTATTAGGATAGCATTCGCACAAGACTGTTGGAGAATATATTGGGTTTCATCATTATACCATGAGAACTACAACATTTAACACATTTAAAACATTACTGCAATATCAATGTGTGCAATATCACAATTGCAAAGGACTGCCTGGTGGAAGTGCTTGATAGGATTATATTTCAAGTGCCATGCATGCAAATTATGCATGCCAATATGTTTGCCCCATTGAAAAGATTTCTACTGCTTTCAGTGCCCATGCTGTGTGCATAATTTTATTGGTCAAGAAGCTGAAGCTCATAAAGTGGTAGGGACAATCTAATGAAGAGTAAGAGAAAAATAATGTCAGGAAATTTATTTTGGTAAGATTGTTTTTTCTTTTGTTTGTTTGTTTTTTAAAAAGCTAATTCCTGTAGTTTTTCTGTATGTGGAAAAAACAGAAAGAATAGAGATGCGCCATTACAAACACCCTCTATTTTCACACTAAAATATAAAGGTTTATCAAACTAACTTTGTTCTAATGACATTAGGTGTAGTGGTAGTCCATGACAAAATCACAGACCTGATACAGTCAGGAATCTCTTAACTACCTTTTCTAAATTTTACACAGACTGTTTAAATGTCAGCATTCGTTACTTATTTTGCTATAACAAGCTAACGTGTCTGCAATAAAAAGTGTCCTGGAAACTTGAAACCTCCTTTTTTTAATATGGAAATCTACATGGAGCCCTACGTTGATGGGTCTGCCAGGAACAGGCATTAATAAGAGTCAGACCCTTCATTTATTTTCTCCTACAATACCAGAGACAAACAACCACAAACATTTCAAATAACACCAAAAGAATCTCTCCAATCTCATCCAGTGCTCACAACCTGAAGATTAATTTAAAAGAAAGTCCAGTCTAAATGCTAAAGTAGTATACATAAATCTTATGTTTAAGCAGTTATAACTGGGAGACACCACATGTTTTACAACCTTATAAACGCTTAACAATGTTGCAAGGGAATTTCCAGTCTTCCTGATGTCTCACATATCCCCAAGGCTCTATCTATATTTTTGATTTATTACAGTTTATTCTTGGAATGGGTCATTGCAATGTTTTGATTCTATTCATTCATAGATTGTTGCAGAATCATGTTAGGCCTTATAAGCTTTATCCTCCCAGTCCTAGTCTTGCATACGTTTTGCTAATAATTGCTAAAAAAGCTAAAGATTGTAGCATCTCTGATACCATGTTTTTCACTAAGCATGAGGTATTTGTATTGAAAATGCCATGTCTGTTATCCTCCAGTTATGGAGCTTTGCATTTTGGTCAATTGTTCTAATGCAATCTTGAAAATAATCCAAAGGTTTCATGTTTCCTGGCTTTCTCCTTCCAAACAAGCCAAACCTGTTCAGTCTGTTCCCACTGCAACTCTCGTGAACGTTGACCTGCTTTCTGGGGTCTGTTAGTAATAATTATTTTATCAATTACTCTGACATCTATGCACTCTCAAATCCAAAGTAAGTCGAACCATCCGCGAGTGGAAAAACTTTTATCCCTTATTTCAACGTCTAAATTTCTACTTAAATGGAAAAAAAGGCTATTAAGGTACACTTATTTAGTTGCATCTGGAAACACTACAAGTTTATTCTAACTCAGTATATTGAAATTGCCTTTGCTGTGCTCACATTCTTACAGTTCATATATATATATTGGATCGGTGGCATGTAATTCAGTGTTCCGTAGTTTTCACCAAAACTTTTTTTCATGTTTAAGGATTAACTGACCGTCTGGGAACAGAACTTCAACGCCTAATGACTACCTCCAAATGCTTGAATTATTAGCAGATAGGGGCACGCTGATAAATCGGCCCTGATTTTCTTCATTTTGATATATTATGTGATACACCTGACTGTTGCCAACTTAACAACATTGTTGCTGTATTTGGTGACTGTTCAGATATAAAAAATTAAAAAAAAAAAATGTTTTAATCGGTATCAGCCGGAATCAGTATTGCCACTTTAGGCTTTTTACAAGATTGGTGATTGGCATCCCTATTAATCAGAAAAACATCCAATCGTCACTTTCAAACACTCTGTGTGCTCAAGTGAGTGAAACGTATGGAGCATAGCACGATATGAAGGAAGTGTCTATAGCAGTGACTTCAGTATCCATTTTGCTTGTTGCTTTGTTTGTTCATTTTGGATATTTACAACCTTCCAGTTCCAATGCTAAATGTTTGTTAGAAATTAAAATGTATTGATATTTGAGAATGTGTACTTGCATTATTATTTTATTACTCTTATGTTATTTCAAAATAGTCTCAAAATAACAATATTGTAATTTATCGCAATCAATTCTGGGACAAACTGGGACAAAAATTTGCTGCATCTTTTTCACAACATGACATGAAAACCTTTGGGAAGCTCAGTCAGTCTTTAACTATTTCTTTTATATTAAGCTGGGCTTAGGGAAGCAGTGATGTAACATTATTTCAGCTACCCCCACGACATGCTGTGACACAGACACACTAAATATAAAGCAGATATTATTGCCATCTTCAGTGTCGTAACAGCCATGGCAGCTTGGGAAGGCCATCATGTGCTTGTCAGGCCATGGTGGAATGTGTGCTCCAGCACAATTTCACATCACCATTAGTGATACATGCTTCCAAATTACAGACATTACTGTCTTCAAGACAACAGCTAACTGTTCAGTTTGATACATAGCCAGGAAATATTTGCTTTTTTAAACACCAGAAGAAGCAAGAGCTGATAATATGCTAAGTAATAAGAGTGCTTATTACCTAAGCTCTACTAAACTCATCAGGTGTTAATTGAATAATTTTCCACCACTGAGTACATGTTTAAAAAACAAAATATCAATCTGTCAATCCTTTCTGTGTCCGGGCCGGGTGAGGTTTCTCGTGTTGAGTCAAATTAAGCCGTATATTAGTATTTTGTGTTTTCTACGGAGCATGGGGAAAAATTTTCTTTTGCATTTTCTTTTGCATTCCCAATTGTGCTTACTGCAATATTGGTCTATTTTGTATGCCGTCACAAATGTTCATTTAAAATTTCAAATATATACACATTTGAATTGCCTCATTGAAAATGTATTCATTCTTAACTCTTTGGTGCAAAAAATTTATTGAAAATCAATTTATTCACTGCATGTTTATGTCAATTTGTGTAAGCTTGATATGGAGCTGCACATGAAAACAGCCCTTTAAAACATTCAGACCAACACAAAAGAGACACAATCAAAACCGTCAGATGAGTTATTACCACGCACTAATAACTCAGAAATAGTCCAAATAGTTAGAATGTATTTTGTCTTCCTCTGGAAAGTTTCTGTTTCTGTCATAGGCATTTCTATCCTAAAAATATATATAAAACTTCAGGTATTTCACAAGACACATGGAAAAGCCTTATGAAAACCTTATATAACATCACAAAGTACAATGAAGCATGAACTAATTAGTACATTATTGCGAAGTAATGCAAAAGGAAAAAAAAAAACCCATGTCCTCCATAGTT